AGCTGCCGGTGCCCCCGGCGACGCGCTGCCTGCCCTCCTGCCGCCGCAGGGACCGTTCTGCCTGCCTGACGTATTTCTGCACGGCGGAGGCTGGGAGGGAGGAGTGGATCCCCTACCGACGGGTGCCCCAAGGGCAGAAGGAGTTTTATTTCCGAAACAAGCAGGTACCAGGGTGGGGGGTTAAGGGTGGGCACCCCGGGGAGGCGTCAGATCCCTCCTGCAAGCCGAGCTGGCTGCCCGTCCCTGGGGCCTTCATCCTGCCTGCCTGACGTATTTCTGCACGGCGGAGGCTGGGAGGGAGGAGTGGATCCCCTACCGACGGGTGCCCCAAGGGCAGAAGGAGTTTTATTTCCGAAACAAGCAGGTACCAGGGTGGGGGGTTAAGGGTGGGCACCCCGGGGAGGCGTCAGATCCCTCCTGCAAGCCGAGCTGGCTGCCCGTCCCTGGGGCCTTCATCTCCTGCCCTTCCCAAACGTGTACCGCCGTGATGCTGGGGCTGCGCCTTCTCCTTGCAAGCTGAGAAAAATCTGTGCAACCTGTTTATCTCTGGTTCATGGGGTTTCTCTGTCTGGCTCCAGCTGAGCCCAGCAGGAGCCGGGCTGGGCTTTGCCGTGTCCCTGGACGCTTAACGTCACCTGCACTGCGGGCAGAGACGGGCTTTCTGCCCAGCCCAGCGCCACAGGCTGGCGAGGCTCCGGACCGGCTGCTGGGTTTGTTCACGCTCTGATTTTTGTCTCTCCGTGATTACCCCGGGCCAGCTGCTTGCTGGGGAGCAGGAAGGGATCCTGCTGAGCCAGGCTCCCCCTGCTCCTTTCTGCCTCCTTTAAAAGGACAACATCGAGTCGAGATTTGTCATAGAAAAGCTCTCTAGGAAACGTAGTGGTTGGAGGTGCTTTTGGCAGTCTTAAATCACCTCCCAGCCTCTTATTTTTGTGTATGCGCTGCCTCGCGGTGTGTTGCACAAACAAGGGCAACAGTTTTCATATAAAGATGAAGCCATGAGCCTGAACGTTGAGGGTGAATGAGAAATAAATTATAAATAGAGGGAAAGGTTGCGTCCGAGTGCTGCGGTTTTAGAGGGACGAGCCGGGGGGACGTCGGGGGAGGATCTGGCCCCAAACCTGCAGGGTTGGGAGCGGGGTTAACCAGGGAAGGGGCAACTCTCGCTCCCAGGTTCATCAAAGAGCGGAGGAATGTGTGCGAGCGCTCCGGCTCTTCAAGGACATCAGCAGTGGTAAATCTGTCCCGAACGTCCTTCACCAGGACTTTGATCTCTCTGTGCTGAAGGTATCGGGGTCTGTCTGTCCTGAAGGTATCGGGGTCTGTCTGTGCCGAAGGACCAGCCAGGGGGATTGTTTGGCTGATGGGGGGTCTGGGTGCCCTTTGCTGGCAGCATCAGTCCTTGTTCTGTGAGACTTTTCCTCTGGGACAAGCAGGGGCTTTGCGGAGCCACAGCCTTCTGCGTCTCAGCATCTTGGTGCCTCTCCTCCTTTTTCTCCTCCATGTGTGCCGGGGAAGCCGGGTCGCATTGCACCGGCGGTGAAAACGGGACACGGCATCCCTTGCAGAGGGCAGAGCAGCGGGGCTTTGCTGATCTTCCCTCGGTGTTTTCTTCCCTAATTAGGGACCTTCTGCAGCGAGGTTTGGGCACAGGCTCCTCAGCCTTCTCCTTTTTGCAGGACAGCGTTGATCTGACCAAAGTCGCCATCGTGGGCCATTCCTTCGGCGGGGTGACAGCAGTGCTGGCCTTGGTGAAAGAGCCCGCCTTCAGGTGAGCCGCAGCAGGGCCGAGGAGCTGCGGGAAGCTCCGGGGACACGCGGCTCATCCCGGTGGGAAGGGAAGCCGTGGCGTGGGCAGCAGCGCCGGGCGTCCATCCCGCTGCAGGTGCGCGGTGGCTCTCGACGCCTGGATGTTCCCCCTGGAGAACGCGCTGTACTCGGAGGTGCTCAAGCCCGTGCTCTTCATCAACACCGAGAAGTTCCAGACGCCAGAAAGCATTGCCAAAATGAAGAGGCTGAGCTCCAGAAACAGCCAGACGAAGATTATAACCATCCTGTGAGCCAGGGGCTGGGGCACCCACCCGCCGGTACCCTCCTGGGAGCACCTACGAGCTGTGTCCCAGCAGGAGGACCCCTCCCCAGCTCCCACTGACGCAGATCCCTTCCCTGTCCCAGGGGATCCGTGCACCAGAGCCAGACCGACTTCGCCTTTCTCACTGGGAATCTCATCAGCCGCATCTTGGGCATGAGGGGGACCCTCGACCCCTACAAGGCTCTGGACATCACCAGCCGGGCGGCTCTGGCCTTCCTGCAAAGGCATCTCAGTACGGCGCGGGGTGGCGGGTGCCTTGGCCGGGGGCTCGGGGGAGCGCGAGAGCTCCCCCACTTGCAGGGGGCTGCAGGGCAGCCGCTGCCTCCCGGGGCTTGGCTTTGGTGCTTCCCATCCCGCTGCACAAAGCAAAGGGGTCCAGTTGCTGCTCCTCCTTTATGCCCGGAGCCGGGCTGATAATCGCTGTGCTAACCCCGGCACCGTCTCTGCCCCGTGCAGACCTGGAAGAGGAGTTCGATCGATGGGACAACCTCCTCGAAGGCGTCGGAGACTCGGTGGTTCCAGAAGCGCCGTTCTGCCGCTCCAACCTGTAGCCTGCTCCGAGGTCGCTGGTGGGAGCGGGAAAGCGGCTGCTTCTTGTCTGAAATGAGCCATGCAGGAGCCAGCCTCCCAAGGGCAGGGGGACCCATGGGGAGAGCAGGACCTGGGGACCACGCTCATAAGATGTCTGGTGGCCGGGGTGCTGACCGAGCGTGCCAGGAGAGCCCTCCCTGCCCAAGCGCTGCCTGCAGTGGCTGCTGCCTGCAGTGAGGGCCGGGGGGCTAAGGGAATAAAATCCTCGGGGACAAAGACTGAGTTGGCTTCACTTGGGCCCGAGGCGAGACCCTTCTTGCACGCAGCGGGTAGGTGGGCATCACTCCCGCGCTGGGCCTGGCTGGATCTGCTGCAGCTGTGGCACATCTGGCAGGAGCAGGCAGGGGATTGTTCGCCGTGGGCTGGGGGTAGTTCAGCCACGGCCAAAAGAACCAGCGCAAAGAGATGCAGCAGCAGGGCTCCAAGCGCAAAGGTAATCAAAATCTTATCGTCATCCTGGAAAACTGGCCAGGTTGCTGACTCCACGCCTAAAATCTGGGGGAAAAAAGAAAAAGGGGAGGGCTGGAAGTATCTCTGAGCACCCCAGCAGCGCAGGAATGTGAAATGGGGACTGAGATCAGCCCCGGGGATGGAAGGAAAAGAGCCCAGCCTGGTTTTGCAGCATGAAGAGCAACGCTGCTGCAAACAGGCACGTGTTGGCGGTGGGAATAAGGCACTGTGGAAGTACCTACAGCACATTCCTGGGTAACACCAGAGACGTTGGAGCAAGGGGTGCTTTTTAAGGGGGGTCTGACCCTCAGCCATCCCGAAGCAGGGCTGAAGCCAGAGGGGCTGCACAGATTTACCCCACCGGAGACCCTCCCCAGGGTCCTCGCTGGCACCGCGGCCGGAGAGGCGGCAGGCGACCCTGGACACGCCGCCTCGGCAGCTGCTGGGAAGGTCTGGGCTCCTGGCACACCATCTGCTTTTGCATTGTCCCCGCTGCCGGCGCGGC